ATCGCTGGGAAACGTAAATATATAAAACGAAAACTGCAGCGACACATGTTGCTATTAGGAATTTATCCGTGCAACGCCTTGTTATTTCAAAAGTGTTTTTCAGGAGCTTCGAAGCTCAATGGGCTAAAAGCTGAATATTTAGGTGCGTTGCTGAATGAAGCAGACATTAAGTTCGGTTCCAACATCGCGGTGTTTGATCAGACGCTTGGTCTTTTAACTTATTCAGCGCTTTTGCGTCTAGGAGGTAGTGGTAGATGCATGTATATTGGCCAAACAAAAGGTACTAGTCACTACTTAGTGGATCAAGCAAATATGGCTCGCAGCTTGTCAGCGCCACTAACGATCATCCCGTTACGCATGCTGATCGATGCAATTCAAGACGATTTCAACGAAGATTTTTACAGCGTGAAGTACAGTGAATACTTCTGTCCTTCATTGTCAAAAGGCTGTTCCCCGGTATCCGACGCAAGTGCAAATATATCTGTGAGTTCTCCACGAGAGTACGAAATGAAGTTGCATCAAATGAAACTTGAGACAAGGAAAAATGTTTTTTTAGAACTTTCAGAACGTCAAATAGATTCTTTCGTCGCAACTATTAACAATTTACTGTTCGCAAGCAATGATATTGTTGAAGTAGCAAAGCTCGTCAACACGCTTTACTTACTAGCTACTCGAATACTGAAACCCGGAGGCAGATTAGTTCTGTATTCATACACCATGAATCCGTTGATTGATTTGCATTCTTATATCAAAACCAATCGCAAAACCTGGGCTAACTCTAAATTCGAAGAGTTCATTTCGCGCACAATGACTCTGCAAAAAGGATCTAGCCACCCTGAAATGAACATTATTGGGAAGCTGGGAGGAGGTTTTATTCTTAGCGCTACAAAGCTCGTTGACGCAGACAGTTAGATTTTTACAGCGAATATCATTTTCAAAAATATTTTAATTATTGTTTTTTCAATTTCGAACGAACCAAATAATATCAAAGCGGCATGTTGGCTTAATGAATGTAGCAGAAAAAGATTACTGTAAGTATTTCGAAGCATTATCTAAAGAATGGGGCGCTGAAGAAGCAGGTTTGTTGCTCAACGAAAATATTGTTGAAACTATCAAGCATAAGTTCAACTACTACTCGTCCGCCATAAAGCTAAAAATCATTGTGTCTTTTTTTTTTTTAAATGACCAAACACGGTTGAGCTTTCAGGATTCGCTGCTAAAAATTGTGTCAATGGGCGAAGTAGATTTTGACATTTGGGTTAAAATAATCAGCAGGCTCGTAAGTAGTTTTATCATAACGAAACACATCAATTTCAATGAGACTGATACGGAGACTTGCTACAAACTCGTCAAATTTATCGAGTCCAAAGTACCAGAATCCAGTATGCCAACCCTGATACCCCATCCTGTACGTCCTATCAACGTTTTAACCGAATTTACGGAGGAAACCAAGAAGCGCATTGAAGATAAAGAAATATTTTTATACGACTCATCTAATGTTAACCAAAATCACAACTCGTCAGTTTTTAACGTGAACGAATTTATTGACAGTTTATTAAACAATGAAAATGACGAATTGGTGTTTAAACCATTTTATGAAAATAAAGTTTTGAAAGATAGATAAAAAATGGATTTAAACTTTTTGTTCGATAGAACGTGGCTTTTCATAAGCCGGAATGGTAGGTTCTTCAAGCTGTCGCTTTTTTCTGTCAGCGAAGTAATCTCTGTTTTTACAGAAACAGTATATGCCACTTCCTAGTAATGATAAAGTGATTCCTGCGATACTGTTTGGTGTCATGGGATCTCTATAAATGACGAACCCACCGATAGTTTGAAGCAAAGATTTCATCAAACCAATAATATTAGATGCTAGTGGATTGGTTAAACGAATGAGCAAATATTGGAACATATTCATGCTTGTACTCAGCAAACCACTTATAGCAATACCTGTCCAAATGGCGTATAGATTTTGATCTTGTGATACGGCCAACTTAAATGGCGTAACTCCCTCACAAAGCAAAACAACTGGTATAAAGAGAACAGAAGAAAGTGCCATATTGTACAGCAAAAGAACTTGACTGTCGTTGTTGACATAACCCAAAAATTTCTTAATAATGACATTGTAAAGAGCTTGGAAGAAACTAGAAATGCATCCACAAACAAGTCCGATGAACGACAAAGTGGATGGGTCTAAAGAATTGACGACAAATCCGGCAACCATGATTAGACAAGAAACTATGGTTAATAGTGATTCTTTCTTTTTCAACATCAAGTAAGACAAAATCAAAACAAATAATAAAGTACATGATCTAGCTACGAGATAAGTTGTGATCAATGTGTATTGAAGACAAGTGTTGGAAGCCGCAATGAAAAGAACAAATGTTAGTGCCAGTGGAATAAGTTTAATGCAAGTTTTAAGATTTAAGCTTGTAACAGGGAAAGGCTTTTTCAAAGAAGGAATTACTCTTGCAAGATTTGCTAAAATCAAGAATCCAACAGTTCCGAAAATTTGTTGCCACCAAGAAATAAATACCGGATATCTAAACCCAGTAGTAAAAAAACCATGGTTGTAGTAAACAATAGCAATACTAATCGTGCTATATGCGATAATTGTGAAAGCTAGCAACAATATATTTGGCGGTGCGTTCTTTTGTTCAATCTCAGTTGTCATTGTATTTTATAAGATCGTATATTTTTCTTCTTTATAATACTTTAAGTGTGTAGTAAGTGTGTATAAAGTTGATACCGGCAGTGTTTACATTATATTATTTGTGTAATATTAATTAAATAATCAGTGTCCATGCTTTAGCAACATTTTAGAGCCGTTTTCTGTTGTAATGTGTAATTTAGTAAATGTTCGTTGCATGTCGTCACTAAATTGATTCGTTTTGCCTTTTTTGAATAACTCATCTGGGATCTTTTGAGCAAGTTTCATGACTTGTTTAGGTGGTATTTCACTTGAAATTCGTTTGAACACAAGATGAAAATTGGTGCGATAAATGTCTACCTGCGGATCGCTTTCGTTTGCAGAAGCAGTGAGTTTTATTTTGTAATGAACAATTTCAAACATTGAAATCCCGTTTTCCATGTAACTAATACAAGCAATCAATGAATCTATGTTTTGTAAATTTATTTTCTTTAAGTCAGTTTTATGGAACAGATCTGCAAGTGCATTTTGCAAACATAAGTTTTCTTCGTTAATTTCCCACTCGCTACCAATGAAAATGAGAAGTGGTTTGGATCCGTAAATAGGCATGTTTCCGGCTGAGCTCGTTAATGGAGAAAATTTGGTAACGTCGAGCTCATGATAATCATAAAGATCATTGTTGTAGGTTCGGCTTATAATTAACCTCAATGGATGTTTTTTGGTCGAAGAAGTTATCAGTACAATTGAACAACTTTTCTTGTTTGCAATTGATAACAGTTCAGACTTGTCTTCCCTTACATTGACGAGTCTTTTGAAGTTTACTTTAGAGTTTAATAAAGAAAAGGGGCTTAACAGCAGATGAAGATTTCGCAACAATTCGATCGACTTTTCGTTACCCGCATGCCCTCTTGTTATAAATATTTTCTTCGGAGCTTCATGCACCGTTGGTACTAATGGAACATTGTGTTTTCGTTTTTGGCTTCTTTTTGAAGGACTTAATATGGTTTTTAACACTGAGTCAGAAACTGATGCAGGAATGGGTTTCCCTAAAGTTTTTGCTCGTTTCTTTTGTATTTTTTCCACCATATATGAATGCTATTTAATATGAGGATTTTTTTTAAAAAACCGTAAATATTCTTTTGTAATTTATATGGCAAAAAACTACTAATGACCAATAATGAAACAGCGCACTCTGATTATTTTTACATTTCCATTCCCGGCTTTGCTTTGAAACACGACATGGTAAAATCTATAGAAGTTGTGGTAAGTAGCTTTTAACATAGTTTCGGTCAGGAAAAAAACAATGAAATCGCTGAAATCATTATAAATTCAAAAATGAACGTTAAATTGGTAGAAAAAGAAAGTTTCGTCAACAGATTAGTTAATGTCAATGACGAATTTGTCGTTTTGCCGAACAAATTTTACTCCTCCATTGATTAACTTTGTTAATTATTTTATTTACATCTTTTTGTCTTACATAAGTAAATTTTCAGAATTAATTATTTATTCTTGAACGTCTTAAATAGCTTATTTTTAACCGTACAACTAACTTTAATTATTTCTATATTTCTTTTTTGATTAGTTAAAATCTTGATCTCGATCCAATGTGATGGCTACGCTTATTGCCGTTAAAATAGGACTTTTATCGTTACTGCTAAATTCAGCAGTTTGTTCTGTGACGGATTTTAACAGCGTGAATACAATTTTCGGCGACAAAATTGTCTCCCGCTCAGTTCTGCCTTGTAATATAAATGAAAATGTTCATAAGCATATACAGGGAGAGTATATAGGTTTTTACCATAACGTAGATAGTAATAAAAATATATCTCCTAATAATCAAGTCCTATGGTTTCAATTGACAAAATCCAATTATGGCAGTTCTATTTTCCGCCAAGGAAACGTTACCTTTGATAAAAGAAACCGTCAATTTATTCTGTTTGATGTTTTTGGTCCATTAACGGCGGCGAATTTTTTTTTGAAAAATCAAAACTTTTCAAAATGTAAAATTAATGGGTCATTAAGACATTTGTCAAACCTGATCCAATTAGATAGTAATTTAACCGGAGAGTCATTGTTCTATGAAAAGAAATTTGAAGAGCCCCCACAAGCAGTTGGTATAATGAACTTTCCTTCTGGATGTACTGAACTGAACTTCGCGCCTAATTCTACCTTAACATTTGCTCTGCGTAAAATACCACGATCAATTTCAATTATTGAAGAAATACTAGTATCATTGGTTTTTTTTCTGCGTTTTGTTCTAATTTGTATAGGGACAGTTTACACATTATACCATACACAACCTGTAATGTTATACCAATTTTCTAGTATCTCCATTTCCATTCTACTATGGCAGTTGCTGTGCGAGAGTTTTTACTTGTTAAACTTACGCAAAATGGATCAACTAAACGTTGTGAATGGAATCGTTATCTTGTATTTTTTGGTACAATTTTGTTTGTATTTCAGGCTACTACTAATGATATTATACGAGCAATTAAAATATGATTTGCGAACGAATCACGGTGAATTTATCACTGAAAGATTTACTTTAATAACGAAACGTTATTCTATAGCTATTATTATGTCTGTTGTGCTAACGCAGTTATTATCTTCAAACAATTCATTTTTTTTACTGTTAGGTGCTTTTGCTTATTTACCACAGATATATAATAGCATTTATTTCGGGAAAAAACCACCGTTTGGCATGAAATTTATGCTAGCGTCGTGTTTCTCAATTTTTTTAGTTCCAACGTTACTTTGGTCAAATTTTTTACCGTCTTCTGTTTCGAAAATAATGAGCAGAATGATAGTTGAGGCTGAAATGCCAGTTGAACAAAAAAAATATTTCGGCTTTGTGAACAAAGTTCAATATTTTTATAATAAAGACATTAAGGAACTTTATAGAGCTGGAATATTGACTTTTACCGAAGCTAAATATACTTCTCTTTATTTGATTTTTATATCTATATTGATAGTTACAATCTTAATTACTTTAGCTCAGCGATACGTGAATTCAAGAATTTTTTTGGACAGGATTTTAAGCGAAAAGTACTTTAATATCACGTATAACTATGAGAAACAGTTCCTTATTGCCCAAGAAAAAAAAAAAATTCCAGCAGATCTTTCATATGAAATATGTGTGATTTGCGTGAGCTATTTAACAGAAAATAAGCCACCTTTGGTGTACACGCCTTGCAATCATATTTTCCATAAGCATTGCTTATACAAATGGTTAGAATTAAAACTACAATGTCCAACCTGTCGTACACTGATTCCTGCTGTATAAATAGTTAATTCAAAGTCTAGTATGAAATTTTGTACATCGTACAACGTTTAAATAATCCAAATGCCATATATCGGTAAATAATTAAATTAACTATTATAGATTAAATTGATTTTTATTGCTGAAAAAAGTATTTGACGAATTTATATTTAAACTATTCGTTAGTAAAACAAATTGAAGGTTAAATAAACTGGAAAAACTCAATAAATGCCAACTAAAGTAGCTATTTTAGATTTTTTAAAACAAGATATTGATGAAGCAATTCAAGAAAGAAGAAATAAACTGGTAGAATGTCTAAGCAAACAAAATAGAATTGTCACAAATGGTGATTTGACAAATTTAAAACATGAGTACATTAATGAACTGGAGAAAAATATTAAAAATTATTGTGAGATCTTGTGTAGCGAGTTAAATTTATCCGAGTTCGTTCCGCTGTTGGAGTTAATCAAGCCTTTCTTTGTGAATTTACCGAAGGCTAGAATTTATCAGATTTTGTCAATGGTCATTGGCTATTGTCACCGTATCGATCAAACCGGTGAGAAAATAATGGAGCTATGTGAAATCATTATTAAGTGGTGTAAAGAGTTACGTTTCGAATTTTTACAATATCGAATAGAATTCAAACTGATCCAGGTAATGATTAATTTTAAACAATTTGACAAAGCTTATTCAAGTATTTCTACTTTGATTAGTTACGTGCAAAAATCTGAGGATAAGTTACTATTATTGGATTTATATTTAACTCAATGCAGCTTAGGAATCGGTATTAATAACGTGAGCCAGGCCGTTTCATTTTTGACCAATGCAAAAACCGTGGCTAGTAGCATCAATACCCCCCTTGAACTTCAGTTTAAAATAGAATTACTGTCAGGTATTTTGCAAGCAGATGTTTCCGACTACCGAACCGCAGTTCCTTATTTGCAAGAAGCATTTGATATTGCTGAGAGCTTGAACAACATAGAAAATGGAACTCAAGCTTTGATGTATATGCTACTTTGTTTTATGCTTTCTGACGATGTAGATAATTTGGCACGAATAATGAAGAGCAACTTTTGTTTGAAGTTAGTTGACGATAGCCGTATTAAAGGAATGCTCAATCTTATCAATGCTTACATGTCAAAAGATATTAACAAGTACCGTGAAGTTATTCAAGATCCTAACTTTTCATTAAAAGACGAGCAAACAATTGTTTACCACTTGGAAAAAAATTATGAATCAGTCGTGGACAATTCAATCATGGACATTGTGTATGCTTACAGTCACTTGCAGTTGAATTTCATTGCTCAAAAAATTAGTTTACCGGTCTCTGTTGTTTCGACTCAATTAGAAAAAATGATTATTGATGGAAAAATAAATGGCATTCTTGATGAAAGTCTCGGTGTTTTAATTCAGTACAAAGCTACCGTAGAGTCAGAAGAAATATATAAATCAAACCAAATTTGTGAAAACTTATCTCAAGTTGCTAATAAATTGCTTAAATACTGTGATTTACTTAAATAGCCTTCTTTTGCTCTAAAGTAGCAAGAATTCTATAACCTTCTACGAGTTGACTCGCGTTGGTAAACTGAAACAAGTGGTTAGAAATAAAACTTACTATTTTAATTAGGCTCCCGGCTGCTAAAATCTGTTTTAGGAATTTAAACGGATGATAGACCATTGAGAATTCAGTAGGGTAAAGACAGAGAAGTAAAAGATATACCTCGTAAGAAAGATGTGCAAACATAATTAATATTTTATACTTGTAGTACCAGTTGAGCAACGGGTTATTAGAGTCTGTTACTTTGTGTGTCGTTTTGTTGTTGCTTAGTTGGGCGTGCGAATACACCCAATGACTGAATACGTCTAGTCCTCCCAATATTGAAATGATAAAAAAATATTTTGGATATGCAATACTCAATAGTATGTAAAGAGAAAAAGTTGAATGTCGATCTACAATCATATCAAGAGTGGCTCCAAATTTGGTAGATTGATTGTATTTTCGCGCAAGAATCCCGTCCACTGCGTCTAAGACCTGACTGATTACATAGAAGACAACAGCTTGAACGCGGGCACGCCATTGAACACTTAGTAAAAATAAGATAATCAAAATGAATCGTCCATATCCCAGTAAATTGCATGGGTAGAAATAAATTGGATTAATTTTGTTTTTGCTCGGCATTGATCGTTCCACTTAAAGTTAAAGTTACAATTAACAATTTTTTATTTATTTAGTTTTGCGCAAAAATGTACTTAAATTAAAATTATCTGTATTTTTTTAGGTTTTATTTGGAATATGAAATTAAAATATTTCGCCAAAATATTCGAGTTAAGAAAACAATTATCGACTTTAGAGCTTTGTAAATTTAGAATAATTTTGGTCTAGCTTCAATATGACTGAAGATGTAGCTAAGAATCTTTGGAGGTGTAGAAACACTTGTTTCGAATTGCTTCAAGACCGCGGCTATATCGTGTCAAATGAAGAACGAAACGAGTCATATGAAAACTTTTCAAAACGTTTCGCGGAGCTCAACTACCAACGCTCTGCGTTTTCTATTTTAGGGATTCACAAAGATGAACCCAATTCGAAGATTTTTGTGTATTTTACAGACGAGACAAAAAAAATAGGTGTCAAACCCATCAAGGTGCTTGTCGATCAAATGGAAGAGCGTAGTATAAACTACACCATACTCATTGGTCAGCAGCCATTGACTTCGTTTGCAGTCAACACAATTAAGGACCTTCTTCCGAATTTTCACATTGAGTTTTTTTTGGAATCTGAGTTACTTGTCAACATCACTAAGCACGAACTCGTTCCCAAGCACATCAAGCTCAATGAAAATGAAAAAGAAGCAATATTAAAGCAATACAAAATATCCGATATCCACCTCCCCCGTATCTGTACAACAGACGCAGTCGCGCGATATCTGGGTTTGCGCCGCGGTGACATTGTTAAAATTATTCGTCCCAGCGAGTCTGCAGGAAAGTATATAACATATCGACTATGTGTATAATTTATTCTTTATGTACACTCTTTAACAAAGATGTGCAACACGTCATATAAGACTATAATATTTACTCCTATTACACAAAATAAAAAAGTATACAACAAAAAGCTTAACGGTAAGACTTTTGTCTTCGGGCGCGAGCACCACGACCTCCGAATTGTTTGGGTTCGCAACGTCTTGGGTCGCTTACGAGAATGGAACGGTCAAACTTCAAGAAGGCTTCTTTCAACATTAGTTTAGACGATTCGCATACGTATTTTTGATGCCATGCGACAACAGCCCGAGCTATTGCTTGGCGCACGGCGTACACTTGGGAGACTTGTCCTCCGCCTCGAACCTTGATTCTGACGTCGATGTCGCTGTACATGTCGGTTCCAACCACAAGAAGAGGTTCGAACACTTTAGTTCTTAACTCACATGGTTCAAATAGCTCGAGTTGCTTTCCGTTTACTCTAATTAAACCTTTTCCTTCTGTTACCTGAGCAACGGCAATGGCGTTTCGCTTGCGACCAAAAGTTTGTACTCTCTTATCAATCATCTCGATGATATACAAATAAAAACCTTATAAACAATAGACAAAACTTTCAAAAAATAAATATAAATATTTAAATTAAAAATATTAGGTTTTCACTTTCCACAGACGCTTAATGGGAGTCAGCTTCTCAACCCATCTGGGCTTGGTCGGCTGAATAAATTTTTTACTAATTACTTTTTTTTCATTTTATAATTACAGCGTTGAAATAATTAATTTAGCTCTTTACAAAATTGAGATATTTACGCCGTTGCAAACTAGAAGTGAACGTGGCTGTTTTTCGAAATAAGTCAGTGTTGCTTCACAGCAATAAGCTTAGAAATTGTTAGCCCGTATGAATTTATTCACGGTTTATTTCTTTTTAATCTACTATGTTTTCGATTCGATTCATGTTCGTATGAATTCACTATGTAAAATTGCTTTTGTGTTGAAAAAATTTTCACTACTTTTTAGACGACCGTTGGTCAGCTGAAAGTAAACTTGAAGGTCGCTAAAAACTTGTTTTTAGTTTTTTTATGTTGGGGATGGCTAGCGATTGTTTTTTGGAATTAGAAAACTCCATAAAAAATTATTGAAATAATTTTATGAATCTCAGAATAAGTAAGAATAAACTGAAGAGAAACAACGTTAAACTTCAGGAAAAAAAAAAATTAAATCTCGATTCTGGAATATTTCGTTACATTAATAACAAACTTTACACACTGTCCAGCAAAGACTTTCTCGTCGAACTTGAAAATAACAAAAAAATTGAATACAGCAAATGTTATCACAAAAATTACCAGAAACAAGTTGCCAGCTGGCCTAAACACCCAGTGGACGAAATCTGCGCTTTTTTGAAAACTCAGTCCAAACCTTTAACTGTGTTTGATCTTGGTTGTGGCACGTGCGATATGTACAAAAATTTAAAAAACATTCATAAAGTTATTTCAATCGACTTCGGAGACTTCGAAGATTTGCTAATAGACGTTCCAATTCACAAAAGCGTTGAAGACGTTATAACTGAAGGCGGCTTTATCAGACGAAACATCACAGACTTATCTGAATTCGAAGAAGAAAGCGCTGATGTCGTTATTTTTAGTCTGAGTTTGATGTGCAAGGACTGGCCAGATTATATCTCTTCTGCCCATCGTCTTTTGAAGAAGGACGGCTATTTAATTATAGCAGAACCGGTTTCTAGATTGGAAAAAAAGGCCAATTTTACAAAAGCCATAACAGTTAACGGCTATAAATTAATCAATGAAACTCAACAAAATGCGTTTTTTGTTTGTTTTTTTTTTCAGAAAGCGTTAAATTCTACGAAACTAGTCAAACCCATCAAAGCGTGTTTATTAGCACCTTGTCGGTACGGCAAAAAGACTGAATCTCAATGGCGGAAAAACGTTATTACTTGACACTTTGCATGTAAAAACGTTTGGACTTTTGGACCGCTTCAAAAAAACTCACAATGAAAAAATCAAGTAAAGCGCTGAATATCTTTGTTCGAATAAAACTTTCACGAAATCTCGTGCTTTGAATTATTCGTACTTCAACTGTAAAATAAAATTTTTTGTTTATGGTCTATATCTGAAAAATGATCGAGCCAAGATCATAGATTGCATGATAAACAAATTAATTTATAATCAAAATTCCGGTTACGTTGGTTCGATGTTAGTTATAAGTAGTGTTGCAAGCAATCTGAATAATAGATTTAAATAAATGGACCTTTTTTTGCGGAAAAGCTAAACAAATATTTTTGAAAAACTGCCAATTTGGATAACTATTTTTGAAACATAGTTTTTCAAACCATTTATATTGCTAGTTTGTTTGATCAAATTATAGAAAGTTGAAATATTAGCGTGAAAAAGTTTGAAAGGTCGAACAGACAGAGTATTACATCGGTTTGACTAAACAAAGCCACATTTGAAATTGTCTACTTAGTTAGGTTGGCGAATTAGACAAAAATGTTAGTTGATGGATCGAACGATTGTTATTATTTAATTATTTCGTAATCAATCTTTTTGAAATTAATAATCATTTTAGCTAAATATAATTACAACCATACTGATGAGCGACGAAGAACGAATTTATCGAATATACTCTGATGGAGTGTTTGATATTTTGCATTTTGGACATATGCAGCAGTTAGAGCAGGCAAAAAAAAAGTTTCCGAAGGTTCACCTGATAGTGGGTGTAATGTCAAACGAGGATACTACAAAATATAAAGGAAAAATAGTGCAGTCATTGGAAGAACGTACAGAAACTTTACGTCATATAAAATGGGTCGATGAAATAATTTCTCCCGCTCCTTGGGTTATAACGCGCGAGTTTTTTGAAGAGCATAAAATCGATTACGTCTGTCACGATGCAGCTCCTTACCGTACCGGAGATATGGAAGACGTGTACAAATGGTTAAAAGATGAAGGCAAATTTTTGGAGACTCAACGGGCGCTTGGAATAAGCACAACAGACATTATTACCAAGATACTATACGATTACAACGACTATATCTACAGAAGTTTGGTGCGGGGCGTCACACCGGAAGATTTGAATATATCTCAAACGACAGCTACGAAGATTCACTTTGAGAAAAAATTAGAACAGCTACGCTCGAGCGCGAAAGAAAAAATGGACTTAATGTCGACGTGGAACAAGGATTTATCGAATGAATTTGAAAATAAAATGGATAAGCTCAAAGATACAATCCAAGTCAAACTGAGCGAGTTTCGTACGCAAATCAACAAGATGCTGCCCGTGTTTTTGAAAAGATTCGGATAGTCTTGGAACGGCGCTGGCTTTACCAATCGAGACTCATGTACTCGAGTAGCTCCGTGTACTCGTCAAACGTGATGACCCCGTCTCCGTTTTTATCGGCAATGCCGAACATTTCACTTAATTCTTCGAAGCTAATATTTTCATTGAGATCGTCTACAAGTTTTTGCAACATTTCGAGCGTGAAGCCTCCATTGGGTCCGCAAAACAGTCGGAAAACTCGTTCGTAAGCGTCGAGCTTCGATGTTTTCGCAACGCAGGATTCAATAATGGCTTTGAAAGTAGGATAATCAACGCGATACGTTTTATCGTTGGTTTGCAACAACATAAGCAAATCGTCCAGGGATACAGAACAATGCAAACACTCCATCACTGCTTTTAGCTCGATCAAGTTTATCTTTCCGTCATTCTGAGCCTTAAAGATGTCAAAAAGTTTATTCACGGGGACGTTTGTCAATTTCGCTGCGTCGAACATGTCACTTAATATGCGATACCTAACTTCACAAACTAAAAATTAAACAGATCTCGTTTGTTCAAAAAATTCCTCATTTTATATTCATTCTTTTTTATTATACCGTAAAAATACAGTTGGAAAAACCGTATAAACACTGAGAGTCTTGCGACCGATTATAAAATTGCAATGCCAACTTCAAAAAAACGAAAAACGAAACGATTAGCCCAAGCAGATTATTTTGTTATAAAAATTGTTGTGATAATTTTTTTTGTTGTCGCACTTCATGTTACTAAATAAAAGTATTTTATTTGTGAAGAGAAGAGTGTTTAGCTAAATTGTGATTTTTTGTGAGATAATTAGAAATAATTATTTAAGAAGAATTATTTAGATAATAGATTCTTGTATCATTAATAAGCCGCGAATTACAAGCTTTCTAGTTTTGTTTCTGTTTGTGATTCTTTGGAAACAATACAAATCTTTCTAAACTATATATGTGTTGTTGTATAGTTAACAAATACTAACTACTAGTACTAATAATATTTGGCTGTTGGATATTTGGACATGTCAAAACTCATAGTATCAAAAAGTATAGGCGGATGTGAAAGTGAAACAAAAGAAAGTAGTGTAATTTGCTTGTCAGAAAACGAGAACAAAAAACTAAATTTGCAGAGTCGAGATGAGTTATTAAGACTTATTTTTCAGCAGCCGTTGTCTGAGGAGGATCTACAAGTTCAGAAGAAGCTGAAAGTAAGTTGTCGCATTGATGAAAAAAATTATGCATCATGTTGGTATTATTATAATGTTCAGCGGGAGCGGAGCATGAAGCCATTGGTAATGTTTTTTTGGAACACGGGTTGGGAGTTGTTGCGAGTGAAGTCGATCGCTTCTTACTGGCGGTCGACCATATCTCACCGTATTTCTCCAATAACTGTCCACATTGCTGTTGGAATCGTGAACCGCGTTCTGAGCGAAAAGCGTGTAACCTTGCTTACTCGAAACTGGTTTGCTTTGGTGATAGTTAGCGCACTTCGAATAGCGGTTAAATTCGAAGAACGCCCTGACACGCTCTGGTATATTAGTCAAATGTGGCAGCTGTTTCCTCTTTTTGAAGCTTGGGATATAGATCGAGATGAGAAAAATTTGAAAGTAGTGGAAAATGAACTTTTATCTATTCTAAATAACAGAATGGATATTCCCTTGGCGATACAGTACTTTGATCACTACATAAAAATAGGAGGCTGGCCAGCTGACATAGCTGAAGAATACACAAACCTTGGACATTACTTACTTGCAATGTTTACGTTTTCCTCTACCAGCAAACAGGGGTGCTTGAATTTTCCGCCTAGTATGACCGGCATGGCGGCTCTTGTTCTTTCAATTAAAATCATAAATGCAAATAAAACGGTTAAACGGTACGAGATTATGCCACTAAAGTTGCAAAGTTACACAGGGTTTAACATCAAAAGTTTACAGCCGGCTACTAGAGTTTTATCTTGCTTGTTGAGAAACAAACCACACGACTCTCATATACTAACTCAGATTTATCCTGAATGGGGTTGCCAGGAATGGCGGTGATGAACTCTAAAGTTGTTTTAATATGGTGCTGAAAAATTTTGAAAATAGCCAATCTGTTGTTTAAATAAAAATAAGTTATTTATGGTAACTGCCGCTTCGAACGGCAACTGAACAAGTATTGCTTTGTGCACGGCATTCCAAACCTCGTAGTTACGTCAGTTTCACTTGTTTTTACCTTACCATAACTTCAGTCAACAGATTTTGCGCGTGCATACTGATTAATACACTTCGAAGTTTCTAAAATACTCGATAAAAATGCGATCGGATGGATTGTGAGACGAGTTTCTTTTAGACTTTTTAATTATTTTTAAATTTAAATTTTCATATTTTTGTAGCTTTATTATTTGAGAGACCAAAATGTCATAAAAAATGGAACTGGATGACAAACTCTTCATTGTAGTAACAGTTTACTCGGTACATGGCGTTGTTTGGCCAGTCGATTCCACTTTAGGAAAGGGGAAAAACCCGGATTCGTCCCTTATTTCCTCCATAACGTCGTTTGCCAAGTACTGGTCGAGCGACAAAACGCCCAACTTGAGCGTGAATATAGTTTTCAACACGATTGAACAGCAAACGCCAGTCAGATACCGTTGCAGATCTGCTAGGTACAACAAACAGTACTATTTCGAGCTGAGCAAGCAAGAAAAAATCAACTATTTAAATTATACCCAGGAAAACGATAAAATCGTTACATCATCGCAATTTCTGTCCAAGGAAATAACATTTTATTTATTACATACCAACACCTTTGAAACTAAGATTATTGGATCGGTGAAAGTTTTGCTTTGTGATATTTTGACTGAAAATCAGGACCAGACTAAACACTTAGTTTTGAAGAACGAGTCTTCGACCACAGTGGGATATTTGACAGCTGGTTTTAAAATATTGGACCACTTAGAAAATAAGCAAAACCAGTTGAATAACATTGAGAATGATTCTGAAAATATCAACGACGATCTGATAGGCTTTCACTCAATGAATTCGTTGTATCTGGAAACTTTGACAATTAACGTACATAATTTCAAAATCAGTGATTTGTTTTTTGAAAACATCATTTCGTCAGGACGTGCGTTTAAATGCAGCATTCAAGTGAGTTTCGATGGCAAGTCGGCTCGATCGCTGTTTACGCCATTTGGCAAAACTTTACATTGGACGAAAGAAATTGTTTTAAACGGTATTTATTACAATAATACTTCTTTAGGATTGCTTACAGTTATATTCAAACCAACAAAAGCGTCTGCTTTCACATTTACCAACTTAAGGTTTTCAGTGTTTGAGCTTATAAAATCTGAACTGGAACCGTTATACGTTCACGTTTATTGTACAAAACAAGATTTATCGCGAGCCAAAAAAATCTTGAAAGGTGATTTTGAAATTGAAACTTCTATGCCGTTAATATACGTTGGGCAATTAGAAATAAGTTCTTCCAGTACTGACCTGATTAAATATTTGCAACGTACAGCCTGTTCGACTGAAATTCAACCTGTAAGTAATATAGAAACGACATATATCGTAATTTCGGTCTACATGCTTAATATTCTTTCTCGCAAATTGGCAAGAAAAAAAACGTTCAAGCTTGATTTAGAAGCTGCTCTTTGTGAAAATGTCAAACATGTTTCTTTTGAGTCATGCGAATATAATAGTAAAACGTTTTTAAACCGAAATCTTGAAGTTAAGCTTAAAAGTGATTTGCCGATTACAAATAATTTAGAACTGTTTTTCTCAGCTGCATTTAAGAGCACGAGTAAAGAGAAAGCTTTGCTGACTTTTTTTCGGTCTTTTAGGCTTAATTCATTGTTACAAGGTGAAATAGAAATGAACGAGCCAAAGTGGTACAGCATGAATCGTGTTTGTACGACGGAAACTTACAGCGACGAATGTAATTGTCGCGCTTTATTGAAGTTTTCTCGACTGACGGAGGATGAGTATTACGATTATTCTGAAACAATAACAGAAAATATACCAATAGTACCGGTGATTTTACTTTTCAACATATTGCAGCTGGTCGATGTGCTACAGATTTCAAATCTTTACCCTTTGAACACATATATAGTTATCAGCTTCATGGGTGCGGAAGTTAAATCCGAAATGATAAAATGCAGTTCGCTTGGAGATTTCGACATTAGGCTAATACTAAACGCGGAACTTTTCAAACTCATGTCTCTGAACGACGAAGCGTTTATCTACATACTCGACGAAGAGAATGCTGTGATTTGTTCAACGTCACTGAACATTGCTCATGTTTTACTTTTAACAAAAGGATGCCCTTTCTGGATTGAGTTGAAGCACGAATTTTCACAGGTTTCGACTAAGATGTTTTTGTCAGTCATCCAATTGAAGTCGAGTTCATCCGCTGTACCTAACCTTCTTAGTATTTCGAAAACTAATACTTATTACGGAAAACTGTTGATAGCCAACGTAGTCTGGTTACCAAATCAAATAGACGAAATTAAAAACTTTTTGATAGAAGTAACAGGTAAATTTTCTTCGAATAATACTTCATCTGCGTGGTTTATTTCGCCGAACAATTTGTTGTTCATGACGGATCAGTTTCAACTGATTCCGCCTGAGCTCTATTCAGATCAGATCATTAGCTATCATGCCAATTTACACAGCTCGTTGTTTTTGCAAAACTTCATGAATTTTAATTTCAAATCTAATAGTAAAAGTTACTATACGCGACTGAGCTTGAATTCGCAGGTAAACGTCAAGATTTGTGCTGCCTATTCAGATATTATTTTCAACCTTATTGACCATCAGAACCCAATATTTGACAAAAAAATTTTTTTTCGGGAAAACGTGGCTAACAATTTGTTTTTCGTGCAAAACTACATTAAAAACACTTTTGGCAGTTATCACGACATAAAAGTAAATAATTTTTCACAATGGGAAAACCCCGCCAATGAAAAACTTATAAGCAGCATGCCTGCGGACGTTTTCCAAATAATGCTCAATTACGATTGGATAACGTCATCAGAGAATGCTGAACAGTATGTAAACTACGCAATCGATGATAAGTTGCCTGACAACAAAACCAAGCTTTTAAATAGTAATTACGAAGACGAAAATCTTATATTGCTTCCGATCCTGGAACAGACAAAAGACAACATAAACAAAGTAGTAGGTTATTTATATTTAGTTTCTGCTTTGTCAATAGACTCAGCAAGCGCTGACGTCAAGTTCGAAAAAAAATATCACAGCTTCATTACGCGTAGCTTGGCGCAGTCCTATGTCGTCGTTCGCATAAAGATTTATTCACTGTTACAATATGAAGATACGTTAAACATTTCAGATAAAAAAGCTGCCAACTATTGGTCTTTAGTGCTTCGTTTTGGCAAAGTCACATACATAAATGAATTGAAAAAATATTGGAAAGACACAAAATCGTTCAATAAGCAATTACTGTCGAACGTGCCAGAAAACGCCAATGAATGTTTTGACGTTTATTTGCAGCGAAGTACAATTCAAAACTATCCGCAGTTTTTCGTTAGTTTTGAAACGATTGTAAATATTTTCAAAAACCCGTTATTGCAAGTAAACGTTTTGCGCCACGATACGCTGCTGAAAAACATTACAAAACTGCCAAGCAACCATCCTGCAATGCATTCGTCATTGAACATTGATCTTTTGTCTTTATGGAACAATGATAGTTGGCGGAAGAACCAGTCTAAGTCTCGAGACGTAGTAGTCAGTGACGTGTATTGTGCAAATGACGAAAAAAACGCTGGTGTAATCAGTCCGCAATTGTATGGGAAGTTAACGTACAATTTAAATTTACTAACTCCAGAAGAAAGTAGAGTATTTGAATTTAAGCCGATTTCGATGATTAAAACTCGTGTTTGCGAATTGCGAGTCGCCGTGCATTCTGTCACAATTTCGAATAGTCTTAAAGACAAACTGAAATCTGTCTATGTCAAGATGGTCCTCATTAACTTGGACGACGGTAAAGAGCAGTGGAAGGAATCAGAATCGTCGCCAGACTGTGTAGCAAACAAGTTTGCCATAAACTGGCGATTTTTGTTTACTTTTGATTTCACTCATAAAAACTACCTTTTGAAAGCTCAGGTCTGGGCTACCAGCGCCATTATTTGTAACGAATTAGTGTCAGAACAAGAGTTTCAGTTACGAAAAGAGTGGAGCAAAATCAGGTTTAACGCTAAACACAAGCTAAAATTTTTGTATCGCAAACAGCTAGGCTATAAGTTGAACAACTTTAAATCTCATGAATACCACGCTCAAGTTGACTTAGAAGCTGACATCGTGACTCTTCACTGGAAAAAGTCGCATCCAGTTGGTGAAGGTCGCTCAGAACCAAACAGAGATCCGTACTTGGAGAAGCCTGCTGGAAAGAGCACGAACTTCTTCGAAACATTCAAGCATTTTTTTTCTAAAGACCTTTTCTCGAGTTCGGGTTTCTTGCTGGTGAAAAATATTACGATCGTATTTTTTGTGCTGGTGTTTTTAATTCTGGTGTTAAAGTGGCTGTTCACTTAATTTTTTCGCGCGAACAAAACTAAAAGCGTTACTAAAACAATTACGGAGTAGATTAGCCAAGAGAAGTATGTGACTAAAACAAAAATGCTTCCACCTTTTCCAAGCTGAGATATTTCTGGATTTGTATGTATTGAATTGTACTGATCATAGGCTTTAGCGTTTTCTGGTGCTACTGCTTCGAGAAAGGTTTTAACATTTACCATCTCTGCTTTAAGAAATAATTTAATAATAATTTAAAATATTAGGTGGAGAGATTTGTGCTCACGTAATTTCTATATTAGTATAAGTGAAATGCTTTTTTTTTTCTGTTGAATTTAGAATCCAATTTTGAAAAGAACTAAGTAGTTTTAACGTTCTCTTATAATTCTGATCAATAAATCTTCTTCCTCGTAACTGATCCTTATAGTAGAGAGTTAAATAGAAAACACATTCCGATAAAACAAAATTCGTCAGTCCAAAAATCAACATAACAGCACTCGAGGTAAAAGTGAGTTCCATAGTACTTTCTTTTATGGTCAAAATCAGCAAGATAACTATGATATTGTAGATCATGCTGAGAAAAATAGTGAACTTAGTGCTGTTGCAGTAAGCTTGCGCTAAATTAAACAAGTCAAACAATAAAGATAAAGATTTAGCTGCAAAAATGACGTCTGCAGTTTTTGTTGTAACGTAAGATGATAAGCCGTAAACTACACCAACGTCTGCTTGTGAGATTGCGTAAGCGTCGTTGTAACTGTCTCCAATCATCAGAACTATAGAGTTTTTTCTTTCTTGTTCTTCTTTTATTAATTTCTGTTTTTCATTTGGGACCAAATTATAGTATAAATTTGTAAAATAATTGGCTACCGATGAATTGCAAGGTTCAGACGAACCTGAAATTAAATTTAATTGATAGTTAATATATAA